CTTAATAGCGGCTAGCGTTAGGGAATAGGGATACTTTCGTCATGCGCTGTTTTTCAAGCATGTGCCAACTTTCGTAGATTTAGCTCAATTTGTTATTTCGCTTTTGCATTATTTATTTGAATTTGATATAGCGTTATCTGTTATTTTGTCCTAAGTTACTACTGATAAATTTTTATTACAAATAAAATTGGACATGGATAAACGAAGAAAATCTTTCCTGTGGAATTTATTTTTACCAACGCATGAAAGTAAACCTTGTTGTAATTAATATATGCAAGCAAAATATTTGTTATAAATCTTCAATCACCAATTTAAAGACACATAGAACGACGACATCATACAGTGAGTACAGTGCCAGATATTCAAAATTTTTCCGCGAGTGCAACAAAAACAAATGAACAGTCGCATGTTTTTTGCTGTCTATGTGATTTTGTAAACAAAAACTGTTAAAATATTTGTAGCGCAGCAACCAGCAATACACGCATTGCTCTATATAGTCGCTGAAATACAATGTCTTTAAATCAAACGCGACTGTACTGAGACTGTATTATGTGTTTAGTGTGTGACACTGTGACTAATACAAGCGCAGATCGCAACGGCTGAGCGAGAATCTGCTCTGCTGTGGCCGGCACGCCTGAGCGCTAGTAAATTGCACTTTGAAGTAAACGCTCCGAAAAATCACCGCTTCTTTTGTCGCAGCGGAACAGTCAGCTCCAGTGACAACTGCGGAACAGTGCCAAAGTAGCAGACAATGAAAGAGCAACACATCTCTACTAGCGCCACCCCAACTTCTGCCATTTCTTGGACAAATTTTGTCAATTTTCCCGGATGAGTTCGTGCTCCTTATCTAGTCTCCATGCATGTGACCATCAGCATCAAATTGTGCATCAGTAACTAATGCAACTTTCAATACTACGTTAGGCGTTAGGGTCAAAACGCATACATGACTTACATAAGTTTTTTTCGCGAGTGATGTATGTTATAGTATGTGTGTAAGAATGAGTCGAGAGATTTAACTTACCATAATGACAACTAAGATCAAAACAGATAGAAGTAATAACTACAAGCATTGTTTGATGTAAACTATATGATGTAAACTATATAAACAATGCTACAAGTCAGATAACTCACCATTATTCAGTGTCGAAAAAAGCCTGTATATCCATATTATTCAATACTCTATGGTTGAGTTCAGAGATCTAAGGGTCTTTCGTTTTGTCAAAATTAGTATAGTAGTTATTAGCAGCTAAGATCAGTTCACAGTACTCTGAGTTCTGAGTTCAATCAAATCGAAAGTCACTCTAATTCTCTAATTGGTCGAGTCGAGTTCCTATTGCTATGTTCTAGATTCTACATAGATTATGAGCAGAGCTAATTCTGTTAGTATTGCTAGAAAAAAATCTAGATTTGTGTTCTTCCCAGTTTCTGCAATCATAGTCCGTATAAGTATTTGTTGAATTGTAAAAAACTATTTTCTCTTCAAAGTGCCGATACCTCGTATAAATTAATTATAATTCGAAACTACGAAGGGAATTTTTATAGAAAATTCAAGAAAAATATTGAAATATTTCTTAATCACCCCCAAAACAAACACTAGCTCCTATTGGTCTCAAAATTAGATGACGGGCATTTTGGACCAATCGAATCATTTTAGAGCGGTTTCGGCCGAGTTCAAGATGGCTGAAAAAACTGTGTCCATTTCGCAGTCACAATCAAAACCTATAAAAATAATAAAATGGAAAGTTCGCGAAGGTCTAACTATTCCAATAGGTCGTTTATTGCTTTTATATGAAATTGATGGGCCCAAAAAAGAAGAACAGCGGAAATTAAAGTCAACACAAGCAGGAACAGTGCACAAAATTATTGCTCGAGAGGGCGAAACTGTCAAGCCAAGGTATATTATTTTAAAAATTGGCGGGAATCCATTTCGCGCCAATAAATATATATTTGTTTATTTATTTATTTATTTAATTATAGAGAAATATTACTAGAATTAAAAGCATGTTGCCACCCAACTATCATGAATGATATGTGTGCAGAATGTGGAGCAGACCTTCGTAAAGATGATATAACAGGAACGGCTTCCGTTCCTATGGTTCATGCAATTCCAGATTTAAAAGTCAGTGAAGAAGTGAGTAGAATTTCTATTCAAAGAAATGTGTACAAATCTTGAACTTAAAACTTATTTTAGCAAGCACAAAAATTAGGAAGAGCAGATAGTGACCGTTTAATAAAAGATCATAAACTGGTTTTGTTGGTAGATTTGGATCAAACTTTAATTCATACAACTAATGACAACATACCTCCTAATATAAAGGATGTATATCATTTTCAACTTTATGGACCTAACTCTCCATGGTATCATACGAGGTTACGACCTGGTACTCATAGGTTTTTAAATAATATATATGACTACTACGAGTTACATATATGCACATTTGGAGCAAGAAACTATGCACATACGATAGCAATGTTCTTGGATGCAGATCAGAAGATTTTTTCAAATCGAATCTTGTCTAGAGATGAATGCTTTGATCCCACTAGTAAAAAGGCAAATCTAAAGTAAGTTGTTTAAAATGTAGTTTAACGATATAAATTATGAATACAATATTGTAGGGCGTTATTTCCTTGTGGAGATGATATGGTTTGTATAATTGACGATAGAGAAGATGTGTGGTCTCATGCAAGCAATTTAATCCACGTGAAACCGTATCATTTTTTCCAACATACTGGAGATATAAATGCTCCTCCTGGTCTTGACAAGCACGAGGATGATAACAAAGCTGGCTTTGATTTAACGAAACTGAAGGAGAAGGTTGTATTAAATTCTGAGCACTTAAAAGATAGGGAACTGCTAATCACAAACGGCTCTACAGGAACTGAAATTGAGGCTGCAAAGGGTAATGATTGTAGTATGAAAATTTCAGTTGATAAAGACGTGAAGGTAATTTTTATTTATTCTGTATAGACAAGGCAGTAATTGAGAACATTCTAATAATAAAGAGTGATACATTAAATTGTTTAAAGGGGGAAAAAAAACAGTTATGAGTAAAACCTCTGAACAATGCCCTAAACCCCTCGTTATATCGTGGGTTTAGGGCAGTGTCACAAGGGTGCATAGACGAACTGTGTTATAACGAAATATCCTTTTAAACTTATATTATGTATGTATGAATGTACTACAGGGTTATTCACATAATTATGATACCCCCCTTACCTTGTCTATCTTTCTAAACGTGCGTGCATAGAAATCGGCAAACTGCAAACTTTTGACTAATTATATATATTTTTTAAACTATTCATCAGAGTAAAAAAGATATATGCTGTTTGAAAGACAATTTGATATGCTTTAATATGAGCTTAAATTTATTACAATTTATTTTCGTTCCTTAGTTTTAACAAAAGAAATTAATGCGTGAAACAATTTAACTTTTTTTATTCCTAAAGGAAATGTAGTTGTTGACAATTTTCTAAACTAACACTTAACACTTTTAAGGGGTATGACCCCCTCTTGCTCTAATAACATCTCTGTGGGATGTTATACCACTCTTCTACTGTATCAATAAGTTCTGGGATCGAGGTCGGGGCATGAAGTCTAGCCCAAATTCTTCGTTTTAGTTTATCCCATGAATATTCAATTGGATTTAGGTCAGGACAGCATGCTGGCCTCTCCATAATCCGAAAACCAACTTATGATATGTAATCTTACACGATTCTTACACATGCATAAAAATAAACTCTTCTCCAATGTAGTTGATGTACGTTACCACATGAACTGCTAAAATCACCTCGATGTACCTAGCACCCGTTAAACCTCCTCTCCCGTGTCCACGATCTCCCCTAGTGACGAAAGCAGGGTCGGTTCTTGTTTCCATAGAAATCGCACTCCAGATCATGCAGGAACTGCCTCCATAAGCAATTCAATTCAATGCAGCATTCTGCAAATCACTCTCTTGGTCTCCGGTACACTTTTCTTCTTTGTTCGCTATTATAGAGGCATATTCTGGTCTCATCTGAGAACAGAACAGATCCCCCATTGTTTCACTGTCCAATTCACATAATCCCGTACAAAACAAACATGCTTGATGATGAGTTGGGGTAAGCTTTAGACCAGTCACAGGTCTTTTAGGGGTCAGGTTACTTTCCTGCAGCCTTCTTCTTACTGTCCACTAACTAATAGCCACTCTTCGTACTTCACAGAGCTGTTGCACTTGAACTGCGTTAAGATGACGATTTCTTAATGTTGTTGACACAATAAAGCGGTCATCACGAGCTATTGTACTTCGTTTTCTCCCTGTTCCAGGTCGTCTATGAAAGGATCCAGTCTCCTCATAACGTTGGCACACTCTTCGAACTGCTGTCGGTGCATATTCGATAGTCGAGCAACAACTCGTTGGCTAAGTCCATTTTCGATTAAAGTAATGCGTTGGGCAGCATTTTGTTTATATAGGAAAAAATGTGAAAGACGAAAAAACGTTTGACTGCAAAGATATAAATGAAACTTTTGCTTTTCCAAATGGAACAGTAGATATTTGTCATTTTTTCGGTTCCTCTCTTTTCTTCAGAGTTTGCACAATATTTTGGTTTAATTATTTATTCTGCATATATTCAAGATTGCCACGATAGAACCACTTCGGGGGTATGTTTTTCATGTTAATTTTACTAAACAAAATTTTCAATTCTACATTAAGAAAAAAATCTTATTATGAAAGGTGCTTTATTATACCTTTATCTTATTCCAGACAAAAGACATATGTATTTCGGTTATACAAAAAAGATCATCGTGAAGAAACATCTATAAAAGCTCATTATGTATGCAAATCCTAAATAAATGTAGTACTGGTGCTTATATTCAATATTTTTATATTATGTATTTTCCGTATAGATGAGGTCTACTTTTAACAAAACTTTGTGCGATTGGACTGTACTAAATTGTAGCAGGTAGCTAAAATTTAATCCCCGACAATCCGTCTTTGTCTATGCCGCTTCAATTTCTCGGTCCATTTCTCTTATAAGTAAACAATATAAAAACAGCATTTCAAAACATGAGGCTACTTTAAGCATCATACTCGTTCCAAGGAATTTTTTAACAAAATTTTCACGTCACTTAATTTAAACGTCGCATTATTTCGCGCTACATCTCCTTTTACCTGCGCCCAGGTAACCGTAGTACCGTTATTTGGCGATTTGTTGCCATTTCATCGATAACATATTTTTTCTGATCTTTATTAAAATTGACAAGTGTCAAAAGTTCCTTTTTCACCATATTTGTTTCAAAAGAAATGTTTTTTCCGGATAACCATTGAATTATATCGGCTTTCCTCCAAGCAGTCGTAGGCGTCCGCTCGGTCTGATGTGAATGGTAACTGGCATTATCCATGACAATTACAGATCCCGGAGGAATAAGATCAAACATCTGTGTAAAATACTCTTCGAAAACATCTGCGTTCATGTCTTCGTGATAGTCACCTGTATTTTTAGATTCAAATAAAAGTAAACCGCCATCTACAAAACCACTAGCACTATGTGTCACTATTAATCTTCGCCCTTTACCTGAAGGTGCCTTGAACCCTGTTGAAAGTCCATCCAAAAATGCTTGTCGAAAACTTTTTACATTTTTATCTTGCCATACTTTTGTTACAGTATATCCCTCGTTGACCCAAGTTTCGTCTAGATAATAAATATTCCTCCCTTCGCCACGGAATTTTCTAATTGATCTTAAGTAGGATCTTCGCCAACAAATAATTTCATCTTTATCGATAAGAACTGACTTCCCGTTCTGCTTTTCCCAGCAAAAATTCAACTCTCGTAAGACGGCCCATAATTTGCTTCTACTGATTTTTGGCAAATCGTTGTCCTCTGAAAGTTCACTTAAAATTTTGTTTAGCGTTGGTATTTCTTTTTTAAAATAAAATGAGTGTACTTTAGTCACTAAACACAAGTCGAATTTTACTCTACTGCACTAGCACGTCTTCGTATATTCAGCTCTAAGACTGGATTGATCTGTCACAATACACTGGCTCCTGCCCTATGATGTATCCAGTAAAATATACTAATGTACACCCATTACCTGTTAGCATTAGTGTTACCCGATAATTATCTGAAACGAAATATTAGCACGCCCATGGCCGGTTCTTATTTCGGGGTTTTATTACTCTCTTTCATTTCCAAACAGAGTATAAAATCATTTTTTATTTCAAGGTCAAATTAGGACGTTTTGCAATCTTATTTTTTTATAAGAAAAAATTATTTAAAATTGCGTTCTTTGTCTGGATGATAAACTTATTATGAAACACTTTTTATAGTATAGTATTTTTTTCACAATATTTAAATATCTGGTTACTAAATTTAATAGCGGAAAAGCATAAATACAAACTGGCTAGTCACTATCTTGTATATATTTATTGTGTAGAGTAAGTACATAAACTAGAATATTGTGCAAACTGTCAAAGTAAATATATGGCATGTATTTAATTAGAAAAAGGAGGGGACTACAGTAAGCGACGAATATGCAGGGTGTTTCGATTAAAGAAACAAAAGTGGTTTATATAAAACACAATAGTCAATTGTTTTTTTATGTTTCTTTGATATAGCAATAAAATTTCTACAACTTTGGTTATTAATTACCAATTCTTCCTAGATAGAAAGGTAAAAAAGATAAAGGGAGTAGAATGTTATGAGAATTACCCTTTACATGCACAGGACAGGTATTTTTGGTATTAAAGTATAAATATACATACATATACTTGTACTATGTATGTACATACGTATATACATTCTTATAAAAAACACCGTTTGCTGATTGGTTACATTTATTTGTATATCTACATAGGTACTTATTTATATAAACTCACCAAAAAAATTATGGAAGCAGGAAAAGTTCCAAATTTTTCTAGTAATTTTTGAAATGCTGTAACTTCGTGAATAATGATCGTATTGAGAGAATAAAAATCTTGAAGCTGTTTGGGCAGTTTAAAAAAAAAAAAATTAAAAATTTTTGCCTTGCATTATTTCATTTGATTGCGCTGAGAGTAACGCTCAAAAAAAATTTTTCATCTCGAGATTTCAAAATGAATCTTCAAGCTTCAAGATGCTTCTTTTTTTTCAGCTTACATTTCCCCAACCCTAAAAATTCTTCTTTTTTTCAAACTTTAATACTGTATCTTGAAAACGAAGTGTTCCTGGATGCATGTTCTAAAATCTGGTCAAGGATTTTTGTTTCACCTTGTATGAACTCGTAGGATTTTTAAAATTATCTGCAACAAGTTTCTGAGTTTCTTAGTGATGAAGTCTCTCTGTATCTGCGACACATTTCACAAAGTTTGTAGTCAGTAATATACTATGTACATATTTTGATTTTATTTTAGTTAAATGGTAATAGCTGTGACGAAAATGAAAAAATTGAGGAGGTAACATTTTCCAAAAATGAAACGGGTTGTGAAGAATCTCCTACAGATAAAAATGAGAAAAAGGAAAACCAAAGGACGGAAAATGTTGATTCTGCAGAAGTACCACAGCAAGTTACCAGTGATGTGAATAAAAATGAAAACCTCGAAACAAAAGCAATAAAAGCACAAGAAAAATGTGATAACGATGCCAGCAAAACCAATACCGAAACAAAAGAACCAATTCCAGAACCTGACAAAACTTCTGCGAAAGAAAAACCTTCTCAAGAAGATAATTTAATCGAAATAGATGATCCAGATGACTATTTAGTGTATCTGGAGGACATTCTAAAAATGATACATAAAGAATTTTATGACCAGTACGACAAAATGGAATCGGGTGAAATACCAGATTTGAAAAAAGTTATCCCTTTAGTCCGTAGCAACGTACTGAAGGGATGCAAGTTGGTATTCAGTGGGTTGGTACCTACACATATTAAACTAGAACAGTCCAAAGCATATCAAGTGGCGAGAAGTATTGGCGCAATCGTCACGCAAGACCTGGAAGACGACACTACACACCTCGTGGCAGTCAGGCCAGGGACCGCTAAAGTCAACGCCGGACGACGGAAGAAGAACCTGAGGATAGTGACTCCAGATTGGCTGTGGAGCTGCGCGGAGAGGTGGGAACATGTAGACGAGAGGATATTCCCCCTCAGTAGCAAGGGTTCAAAAAACCGACACCCTCCTCCTCACTGCAGCAGTCCGGATCACATAACAAGTTATCCCGAGCATAATACCCCCGCTTTGAGGAAGCGAACGCCCAGTGGAAGGTTTATGGATACGATTAATCCGCTCATGTCATTTTCCAGTGCGGATATAGCTGATATGGACAAGGAGGTAATTTTGTTTTATTTTATGGTATACTAAAATCTTGAAAATGTATTAGTCCACAGTACAGGCACCCCCTGGAAAGTTGTTTACCACATACTTTATAACTTGTGAGGAGCTTCGTTTTGACGAGTCTACCATATTTTTCCTCTGCGACTTTTCTTGATTCCTCCGCTTTTCCATTCGGAAAAGTCCAAAAACATATGGCAATTTCCCGGCGTCTTGAAAAGTCAAGACTACATCTTTTTTTTTTTAGCTTAAGTTACTGTAAATTTTGTTGCAGATGTCGGTTTAAATTTGTCCGACAGAAATTCTTCCGACATTGACGTGTCTACCGGCCAAAACATGCCAAAATGACAGGTTATTGAAAATCAATTACCACATAGGTAATTTTTAGTAAAATTAATTGTAAATAATTAATTAAGTCAAAAAGTATTGTTGGCCGACAAATTTCAAGCCGCGTTTTTTCAGTCTGACAGCTGGAAATCGGAATTTTCACGTGGTATGATAAATCGATTACCACATATTTAATTTTCATTTTTTCCACATTTAAAATTACAATTAATTTTACTAAAAATTATCTATGTGGTAATTGATTTTCAATACCCTGTTATTTTGGCATGTTTCGGCCGGTAGACACGTCAATGTCGGAAGAATTTCTGTCAGTACTATAGACTATATGATTTTATAGCGTCGTAGTATACACACCTTCTCGTATGCCGAACACTAAAACAGATATAATAAAGCGGTGACATTCTCCTTTCACAGAATTAACTTTAGTGATTTGTTTTTGCCCACCCTAGTGCCCAGTTGTCATAATCAAATTAGGCGAATTGATATTATGTAGTTCATCTAAACTAGGTCAATATCAGAAGTCATTGACACTGAGATTCACAGACTAAACTCGGTGCTTAAAAAAAATAGTAACAAATACTTTTTATTATAAATTTAAAATATTTTTAAATATTGTTTCAAATCCATCAGATATTTATTATTTCTTATTTTGTGCAGTTTCTTTGCTACTTCGTAAGTAATAGCAGGCAACACCGATAAGCGTGTGCATACAACCAAGTTTGTGGGCTCCCCAGTGGCGGCATAGACAAGAACTTTAGTGCAATTTAAAAAACAAATTAAAAGATAAAGACAAACATGATAAAGATAGATGTATAAACTGAGAACAAAAGAATAGAAAACTATTAAAAATGGTAAAAAAAAACAAACAACATATAAAAAAATAACTGTTTAACACAAGTAGTAGGCCATTAATGAGCAAAGTATCCATTTCCATGGGCGTAGTAAGGGGGGGTGTACATGGCCCACCCCAGAGAGGCCGATGCCTAAAGGATAGCTTATAGTGATAGTTTAATGTAGGAGAAATTTCAAGTTGAGCATACATTCAATTTTCATGATATGGCAAGTTAAACTCGTTATTTGATTCATCCACGCCAAGGCGAATCCGACATTCTCGGTGACCTCTTGCATTATCTATTCTCAACAAATACAAGCAGCGACATTTATAACGTAAAATTTTCCATTCCTTTCGAATCTTTCATATTTTACCAAAAATATAGTAGAAGAAAGTTATAAAATATGTTTGTAAAAAATAATTTGCATTTTTGCTAAATATCTTTAATTTAACGATATTTTTATACTGAAAACATAGCAAATCGTGCTGGATATACAGGGTCTCTCACTGTGACGGCCCATTAGAATTATTTCAGAGACTACTTCGATTTGAATTTTGAAAATTTGGGATATCGGGTTTTCGGGCATGCCCTTCTCAACTAAAACAATGGTTATACTGGAAGACGCCATCAACTTACTTATTTTAAATGGAACACCCTATATATTATTGCAATTCTGGATTCTACGTGTTATTTTAGGTGGAGTTTTAGGGAAACTTCATAAAAGTCCACCTAAAATAATACATAGAATCCAAAATTGCAATAATGTATAGGGTGTTCCAATTAAAATAAGCAAGTTGATGGAAAGGTGTTGTGTTAAACTTTTGTAAAAAAAATTGCTATTTCGTAAATATTTTAAATACCCCTTACCCAATTTTGTTGTAATTTGGCAGTGTTATTTGTACTCTATGTTATTTATATGTTACATGTTATTAATAAAAAATTATAAAAAAATTATAATTTCCTAAAAAAAAACTTTTTCCCATGTTTCTTGTGTGGTGGTCCAGGGATATACAATTAAGTGGATTTTATTTTTTTCTACAAAAATTAATCAAGATACGAAAAATATGCGAGAGACAAAAAAGTAGTATTTTTAGTTGCTTAATTCAAAAAATATATAAAAATTACAAAAAGTAAGTACATTTTTTTTGTCAAAAATATTTGTTAAGGTACCGATCACAACACCACTGGATTTAATAAATCTAATCAAGTTAGGGTTAAATTAGCCCCTTAACACTACAAATAACACTGCCAAATTACAACAAAATTGGGTAAAGGGTATTTAAGATATTTACGAAACAGCAATTTTTTTTACAAAAGTTTAACACCCTGTATCTTCAAAATGAAGCATCTGCGGACCAATGTTTAATAATTGTTAATATGAACTTTTTGTCTTAAAATCACTCAAATTATCATCTGTTGAATTTATTGTACATACTTAATTTACACCCTGTATAAAAACTAGTATATCAAATTTTATATAAATGGAAGAGTTCAATTGAATTTCAACCCTAACAAGTTATGGTACTTAGAATATTTAGGCACTCTGTATATATTTTCTTTATCGATCTTTAAAAATTGCTTATTAAGGAACAAATCTTGCAAAACATATATAAAAAAAACCTCCCGTTTTAAAGGTGGAAGACATATTAGACGACGAAAGCGACAGTAGCGAGGATGACCAGAAAAAATTAGAACAGACGCCTGTAAATCTCGTGATCCCTCCACGAAGTAACAGCAGCAGCAGCAGTAGTAGTGAGGACTCCTTGACGGGAGAGTATCCCAGAGGCTTCAAACGGAAAAGGCAAGATGAAGAAGACAACGGTCTAGACGAGAACAATAGCACAGAGGACGAAATGCCAAGTATTAAGTTTAGGAGAGGGGAAAGTGTGGACGATGTGTTGGACATGGACCAAGACGACACGCAGGAAAGTGATAACAGTGTGGAACCTCCTGATGAGGTGGACGACGGAGACTGGAACATGATGGGGGCTGCTTTGGAAAGAGAGTTCCTGTCAAATAATTAATGTGTTTAGGATTTCGTACTTCGTCTGACTGGTAAGATATTATTTGAAGCGTTCTCTGCAAGACCCATATGTCATTTTTGGATAAATTTTTTGTTGTTGTGTGAATAGATGAAGATGTCTACAAGTCTTACAGGAAATATTTCCAATAAAGTTCCTGAAAGTACACATTTATTTATTTGGTGGTTCTGCAGAAACGTCTTAGACAGTTAGACAAAAACACTATTATGCCACTCATAAAAAAATTTGAAAAGTTTTTATGGCCTTGCAAAGTTTAATCCAAATTATTTTTTTTAATAAGGAGCCATACTAAAAAAACATGACGAGGCCCCAAGTGACTTGAGGTACACTGAATGAAAAATTCTTCAAAACTGTGTACAGTCAAAGCTCCTTATTCGCGGTTCCCGTATTCGCGGATCTGCTATTCGCAGACCAAAAAATTGTGACCATTTCCCGTATTCATTGGTGAAAAATTCGATATTCGCAGATCCAAAACTAACGATACATATTGCATTTTTAGAATAATGTATATTTATTTCTCAAAATAAACAAGTAGGTATCAAAATATTTATAAACAAACAAATCGTGAAGCCGAAATTCCTTTGACAAAATCTGCCGCTCACGCCGCTCACTTGCATGTGCGACTGTGGCCGCCTGCGCCGAATCTTTTATTTCATTGCTTCAATTTTTCATTAATCGCAATAACTTTGACGGAATAATATGTGTCTTTTCAGCTTCGTTTGGAATTTATAATGTCTGATAAAGGTAATTTAAAAAGAAAATTAGTTCGTACAAGAAAAAAAGCCATGTGCAAATTCAAACGTCAACTGTGTGGGTAAATACTTTTATTTTTACCGTTGAGGGAGAGTTTTATTTTGCTGCACACCGAAAGCAACCCTCAAGTGGTGACCCTGACGTGATTTTTCACCTGACGTGATTTTTCAACCAACGTGATCTTTCAACCACCATTAAGCGAAAGTACGCGATTTTTTGTGCAATTAGAGTGGTGTTTATTTCACATAACGCAGCAAGCAAACATGAATCCTCAATTGGTGACCCCGACGTGACTAGCAGGGGGGTGTGGGGGTGCAGATGTCTGTAAGTGAACCATTTTAAGAGTTACGTCAAGAGCGCCAGCTTGACAGCGCCCGGACCCACCAGGGTTCCAGGAAGGGTCCACGGCGAATTGGCGCCGGCGACCAGATGCTTACTCGATACCTACGAACGACTCCACACCAAGAGGACTCTCCAGCGAACGCTCTCCTCAATAACATATCTTTTTCTCTACACTTAGTTTTCAATAAAAATACTTTTACTTTCCGTTGAGAGAGTTTTATTTGTTGCACGCGGAAAGCAATCCTCAACTGCAAACATTGTGTAAGTTGCAAATGCAATAGGACCGGATAGCTTTGAACTGATAGAATCCAGTCAGGAATTGCTTGAATTGCACGATGAATATTTGACTGAAACTGACTTGGAGGAAATGTTAAATCCGTACTCCGTTGAGGAGGAAGCTTCAACGAGCGCTGAAAATGTGTTTAAATTTAAAAGAAGTTGTTTTTAAAAGGCAAATTGATTATGCCCCAGCTGAATATCAATCGGAAGAATTAAAATGTCTTTTATTAGCTGTATGACAAGAAAAATTCACTGAGTTCTCTAAACCATTGCCTAAACCTGATAATAACAAGCCGACAAAATTTTACGATAGTCCAGAACCAGAGACCGGATCTAGTGTACTCGAAGGATTTTGGTGCACTGATTATGAATCCGAGCTCAGAATTGGCCTATCAACTTAGGTTCTCGAGATATTCTAACCTCAAAGTGGAAAAATTGCAATTTTTCGCTATATTCGCGGTCAGATTACAATGTGAATTATTTTTTTTTTCTAAAATCGCGTTAAACCATCTCAAAGTATCACTCTTACCTTTCTAAGCGCACTTCGATTTTTTTGAAAATTATTTTTTTTTTCCATATGATAGATTGAAGTGTAGTACTTCGGCGATTTGGTTACAACATGGAAATAAACTAATTGTAAATTTATTCAAAAACGAGATATAGAGTTGCTGAATTTGAAAACACTGGTGGACCTGCTCCATAACCTCAATATTTCAAGTTTTTCTAACCTAAAATTGAATACTATATGAAGCAGATACCTATGTACACACGCTGTTACATTCGCATGCTAAGCTCATGACAGGTTCATCATAATACGCTATAACCTACGACACGTTAACCTAAATGCGCAAACCAGCGAGGGTTAAACCCACGACAGGTTAACCTAAATTTTCCATGTTGTAAGGAAATCGCTGAAGTACTAAACTTCAATCTATCGTATCTTTATGGAAAAAAAAGATTTTCAAAAAATCTAAGTGCAGTTAGAAAGGGTAAGAGTGATACTTTGAGATGATTTAACGCAAATTAATTAAAAAAATTTATTCACGTTGTAATCTGACCCCGAATATAGCGAAAAACCGCGATTTTTGCACCTTTAGGTTAGAATATCTCGAGAACTTAGGGTAATGGACCAATTCTGAGCTCGGATTCATAATCAGCGCACCAAAATCCTTTGGGTACACTAGGTCCGATTTCTGGTTCTGAAAATTGTCGTCTGTGTAATAATTAATATTATTAAAATTTATCTCAATACATTACTTTTATGAAGATATTTTTTTATTATTTTGCAACTGGCACGTATCCTCTATATTTCCATACAAAATGCCACTCCGTATTTGCGGATTCCGTATTCGTGGTACATTTTCGGAACGAGTCCCCTGCGAATAATGAGCTTTGACTATATTACATATAAAAGACTAATTAAATATGAAAAATAATGTTTCTGTAAAAATGGTACCTATGATATAAAATAAAAACATTACCGCTAGTAAATATTTGTTTTTTAGCAAAATTTAAGTGGAAATTGTACATATAGTGACAAATGGAGTTTTTGCAATGAACGCTTTAACTTTTAATCAGCCTTGTATCTCATCAATTGATATTTTGTGTTTTCAGATGTGATTATTTTAGAGTGACGTTGAGTGTTTTCTCAAAGCGTAAGAAACAGTCCAGCCTGTAAATTAGACCGAAGTTAAGTCATTTTAAGCGTAACCTTATCAAACAAATCATTTTGTACATTTTGTTTATATTTTTAACATTCATATTTGCAGTATAGTTCCGTGTATTCAGGTCAAAATAAAATTAATATAAAAATTGTTGTTTTCCTCAGAATGGGTATATTTGTAGCCAAAAAGGAAACACATTAATTTTTTACAATTGGGCATTCACTTTAAATTTCGTTACTTTAATTGCAGCTGAATATAGGGTGTAACTAAAATCCTTGACCAAACTAAATATGAGAGCGGAAATGCTTCTTTTCCAAGATACAGGATGTTACAGTTTGAACAAAAAAATATTTATTTTGAACAGAAAAAAGACGATTTCCTTCCAATTTGGTGTGCCGTTTTTCATGTTTTTTATACAGGGTGTCGCGCTTAAATGTGATACAAGTTTGTAGCTTCTTTGTTTTTTGACCGATTTCAAATTTTATTACATTTCGCGACATCATGGAGTGCTCGCCTGAAGATGTATCGATTTTGAGGAAACCTGGTGGTGAGACGTTTTAAGGGATGCTGAATGAGAATACATAATCTGTTTTTTGGAACAAAAATTGCTGATACCAATCTGCTGTTTTGATGTCAAGAAAACGTGTTCTAGTTGTTTATGAATTGCATTAATAAAAACAGCAGTATCGCGGTTAGATAGAGTTTTTTTTACCCTACATTCCCAAATAAGAATTTTTGAAATCGGGCCAAAAAATAAAGAAGTTACAGGCTTGTACCATATTTAATCGCAACACCCTGTATATGGGATGTTGAATAAGTTCTCGTTGATTTTTTTGTGAAAATTTAAAAAAAATAGTAAAAAACATATCCCTAACTCGTTAGCCACTACTTTTTCCCATCATTCTAGCAGCATTTTAATTTCATGTTCTTTGAGGTTTTCTAAGAGTCAACACATCTTATGGCATCTTCATAAGAATGGAAGTGCTGTACATTCAGGCCATGAGCCATCAATCATAACAAGTGATTGTAAAGAACAATGTCTGGTAAATATAGCGGGGAGGCAGGACTTCTCGTTTAAACATTTCCAAGTAAGTTTTCATCGGTATCGCAACATGTGACCGAGCATTGTCATGCTGCAAAATCACTTTGTCATGTCCGTGCTCATATAGTGGCTGTTTTTCCTGTAGTGCTCAGGTCAAATGCATCAATTATAGTCGATAGCAGCTCATAATAAACTACACTCAGCTGATCCCACCAAATGCAGAGAGAAAGCTTGAAACCATGGATATTTGGCTTTGCCGATGATGTTGACGCGTGGCTTACCCCACAATTTTCTATGCTTAGGATTATCGTAGAGTATACATTTTTCATCGTCAGTCACGTTACAATGCAAAGAACGTTTCATTTTTTCCATTAAAGCACCTGTTCACATGTGCAAAGACGTCGTTCGAGGTCTCTCGGCTTCAACTTGTACAGCACCCAATGTCCTCGCTTTTGAATCATCTTTAGTACTTTCAAACGTTTTGAAACAATCATTCTACATCAAAATTATTATTTTTTAAGCGTTTAAACGAACCTCTGCATGTTGTTTGTGACAGAGGATGGTCGCCATAAATCTCGACAGGAATTTTGTGTGCTTCAGCTGCAGATTTCTTTTGAATAAGTCCTGCAGTAAAATTCCTCATATACTCTTTTTTTGGCATGAAAAAAAGTAGTTTACACTTCGGCAAAACAACATACACTAACTTATTCAACGTCCCATTACATTATTATTTTCCGAGAATGCATAGTAATTTTCACTCCCAACTTTTTTTCTTCCAATCCCTTCCTATTTCAAAACTGATTTGTGAAAACATCAAATTTTTTATTTAAAAATAATAGATATTCAAATAAGTTTATCTATAAATGTAAGTGTTATTTGTATACATCCTTCAACTGTGTTTTGCAATTAAAACCAGAAATTTTTATTAATTTTGAATATCTTGTATCTCTGAAGCGAAACATTTCAGTGACACTGTACATAAAATAATATTTGTAATAATTTTGGAAATCCAGAAACGTATTTTGAAAATATATACATACAGTGTGTCCACGGAATGACTACACGTGAGGTGTAAATGACAAAAATGTTTCGAGTAGAAATTGGAGCTTCTGGGATTCATCTCTGTTTGGCCTTAAACTAGGAAGTTGAAAAAATTTGTTAATTAATGTACAGGGTGTTTTTACGATGAATTTTCAGAAATTGTCAAGAGTAAAGTACCTTTGTTTTTAAAAATATCAAGAATATTTACTTAGAAAAGTTGTTGAGAATTAAAAGTTATGACAGAATATCAATTTTCAATTTGATCAGCCAACTTAGTTTTTTATTTTTCACAACCACAAAGTACAAANCTGCCACCAAACATTACACATCGCTCAGCGCACTTGGTAAATTCTGTGTAGGCGTTTTGGATTTCTTGAATGGGGATGGCATTATTTATATTTTTTATTCTTCGTTTCATTTCAAATAAATCGTTATTCAACGGGGCCCCATAGATTTTCTGCTTGAGATAGTCCCATAAATAAAAGTCCATTGGAGTTAAATCAGGACTTCTAGGAGGCCAAGAAATTGGGCTATTTCGCCCAATCCACCGTCCAGAAAATTGACCATCTAGCCATTCTCGAATTATTCGTGTTGAATGGACTGGGTGTCCATCTTGTTGAAAGTAAAGAAAAAAAAACAAAGGTGGCCTATCAAATTGAAAATTGACAATCTGTCATAACTTTTAGTTCTAGTTTAGTAACTGTCTTTAGTAAATATTTTTGATATTTTTAAAAACAAAGGTACTTTACTCTTGACAATTTTTGAAAATTCATCGTAAAAACACCCTGTGCATTAATTAATTGGACTAATTTGTGAACTTCTTAATTTAAGGCCAAGCAGAGGTGAAGCCCAGAAGCTCAAATTTCAACTCGAAAAATTTATGTCATTTACACCCCATGTGCACTCAATCCGTGGACACACTGTATATAATAACTGAATGAATAAGTAGTCTTTTTTAAATGTTTCTATTTTAATTTTCAATTAAAAACAGAATTTTAGGGGGTATTAAATTTATTATGTTATTAAAAAAACTGAAATTGTCATTGAGTATACAGGGGGTTGCAATATTCCACCAGTTAAATTTGAGGTTTTTCGTATTTTTTTACTAGATTTGGTAAACAGTCGTAATAAAAGAGTAATATTTTGAAGTGAAAAACATTTTTCAACTAATGATGTTTCGATTGTATCATTTGGGTTTCCTGTAGACACAAAAATTAAATTAAATAAATTAAATATAGTTATGGGGGTTTTCTTCACATTTGAACCCCCTAAACTTCTATACTAATGTAAGTCGCAGTCAGCGACTTACCAATAACGAATATGAGAAAGATGATATCATGATATTATTGAATCTTTTACTATTGTTTTTTTTTCTGGTATGGCCCACACACAACCTTGTCCCACCCTCTGCGCCCATGGTAAAAAGTATTATACAGATATTAAAATTATGCTCTTTTATCTGGAAAAAGATACTCTACTACTAAATTATATCATTTTAAACCAAGATGAATGTAATCATCACTGCAGTTCCATAAGATAACCCTGATTAGAAAAAGTAAAAATATCTGAAACAGAGGGACTCCTAAAAAAATGTTTTCCAGAAAGTAGATCAAAATTTTGAAAACATTTTTTTCACCATTAGGCAGTTCGAATGCGAATAATACCCCATAACTATGCCCCTACCTTTAGATGAAAAATGTTTTTTACTATGTTTCTTGTGGACCAAATTTGAACAAAAAAAATTTTTGTTGAAGATATTTTTGAAAAAAGTTCCATGTTTTACCAGTTATGAATAAAAAAAAAGTTACTTTATCATTATATATCTTAAGGGGTAACGTCACTCTAGAGGTTGGAAAAAAGGAGATTTTCGGAAATTTTGAAGGTAAAATCGATACAAGATATAGTGTCAGGAACAAAAGACTTTATTGTACATGTTTTCAGGTAGCATTGTGAATTTTTTAAAACGATCTGGTTTCAAAATGGCGGCTGTAGGTGATGGCAAGCAACAGCACCTTTTTTTAGTTTCTTATCTTTTAAAAATCAATCAATTTTCCTATATAGGTATAGTAAAAGCTAGGAAACTTCGTAGAGAAATTAAATATATTATATATTAATATTAATAATTGTTGATTTAGTGAACATTAAAAAAAAGTATAGAAAAGACGAAAAATAATAATAATGAAAAATAAATTGTTAATAACAATGAAAATTGTTAATCAACTAAAAAATCCCTATGATGTTCCCTGAATTATGTTATTGTGAAGCTCTGTACAAAATTTCAAATCGATTCCTTGGAAACTTTTAGAGTTATGTTTCTTGAAAAATGCTTTTAAAGTTTTTGTTGTCATTCAGCATAAGAAATTCGTTATATGTACATTGTATACCTTTAATCAATGATACCTGCACCATACAGGGTGTCCTGAAATTAATGCAACAAAATTTGGTCACACATTCTTAAGACAAATTTAGGGGACCCAAATTTTTTTATTTTTGCCAAGTGGCCCCCTCTTTCGGAGTTACAGCTCCCTGAAATCCACCTCTAAGAATAATATTTTTTTATATCTCTGAACCCTGTTGTACGAGAATCACAAAATTGTTACACAGGGGTTTTGTGACATGTGGAATCTGATGGTGCTACGCTTTTTGGCGGGGAACCCCCTTAAGACAATTTTTCGTGGAGCCAAAAAAAATTTGGTCACATATGTTATTTAAATTTCTTAAAAATTATTAGTCCGCTAGAAAGCCATTAAATTTAGAAACTTTTTTGTCTCTTGATCGAATGCATATCGTGATTCGCCATTTTCTTCAAAAACATTGCTTTTTACAAAAAACATATCGAGAGAGAAAAGTTTCTAAATTCAATGGATTTCCAGTTAACTAATAATTTTTAAAAAATTCAATTGCAACCAAATTTTTTTGTTTCCAAAAACAAGGGGGACCACGAAAAAGTGTCTTAAGGGGGTTCCCCGCCAAAAAGCATAGCACTATCAGATTTCACATGTCATAAAACCCCTGTGTACTAAATTTAGTGATTCTCGTACAACAGTGTTCTGAGATATAAACAAGACTATTCTTAGGGGCAGATTTCAGGGCCTGCAACACCGAAAGAGGGGCCACTTGACAAAAAGAAAAAATACGGGTCCCCTAAATTTGTCTTAAGAATCTATTACCAAATTTTATTGCAATAATTTCCGGACAGCCTGCATAATTGGCCTTCTGTATTGATATTTTCTTCATCCTTTTCTTTTTGGCTTGATCTGAAACTCAGTCTGGCTTGGACAGCTCTCATATGAGTTCTCATGAGTTACAATAAGCACTCCTGCAGTGCGCTACGAATGGTTCAGCTTCGCCTCGAAAACACTCGTCTTCCCCCACCTTAAACTTTTTTCCTATATTCTTCACATAATAAAAATCGATGTTTTCAAAATTCCACAGTGGCTATACCCTTAAAAATGATCTGTTTACAGACTTTGTTTCATTGAACTTTTTTCTATTTTTGCCTACAGAACTATCAGTGTAATTTCGCTAATGGAATATTGCAACACTGTATAATTATATATAATTATGTATTAGTAAAATACGGCTTACTGCGGTTTAAATAAATTTCATAACGATTTGTTTTGTTATGGATCTTATTTTCTTTTTGGATACAAATATGGAAAAATTATAAGAAAAATTTTATAATTTGTTAAACACCCATTCTTTAAATTTGTTATCATTAAAATTAGTTCATAAATGTAATTATTTCTGTCTATTTGTTAATGTAATAATTCAGGGTATATGTTTATCGAGTTTTAATAGCAATAAAAGGAAATATCGCACAAGTGAAATATTTTTTTTATTGCCTGATAAGGCATTTCAGCGTTTTTTTTTTGTAAATATCCGTTCTAGGTAAGATATACTTAGATTTTACTAATTTTACTTAGGTACTATTTGTTTCTGAAGGTTTGCCAAGTGGTGGTTAGTAGCTAGTTTAACGATTTTTTATGACTAACAAAATACCTACTGAAAATATAAGTTAAGAATAACATTCCTAAAATCGTTAATGATTTATTGGCAACAAAACTCTGAAATATTGTTTCGTTTTATAGTTATGATGTCATTAAAAAAATAGAAACTGTTTTTCCAAGTTAGTTGAATCTACCACATAATTTTTATGGAACGGATGTGGATTTAACACGTAAATATATTTATTAGTGTCATCCACCTCCATCAAAATATTTCATGAATTGATACAATATTTGTTTTCTGTGAATCAAACAGCGTTTTCATGTAATTGATTCCTCCACAGTATTGTCAATATTTTTTCACAAAAGTTATTGTGAGAAACAACTACTCTGCTGACTAAAGTCCCATCCAACATTGCACTACAAAACATAGACCGGTCTGGTAATTCTACTGACAAAAGGGCTTTGTTTTACTATTGAGAATGTAATCCAATCCTGGACAGGTCTTTAGTCTACAGAGTAGTTGTTTACCACAATGTCATTAGTTGAAAACATTATTTTAGCTAGTGCTTAATCTTACTTTCACAAAATACCTACAGATTAGTAGGTCGCTCTCGGCCAGTAGGTACAAAGCAGTGCTTATTTAATTAAATTAATATATCAATTAAAAATTATTTGTAAAAACTAAAAGGAATATTATATGTACATTCAGGAGGCAAACATTTTAATATGATAAAATAATAATGGCCTATAATTGCATAGAAGTTTGTACATGTATTTTATTGTGTGATGAACAGTAGTAATTTTTGTATATATTTAGAATGTTTGATTAGTTTCTTTTATGATTTATTGATTAAATAGTAATCTAATTAGAATATATTTAAAATTTAAAAAAAATGCATTTATCTTTTTAAGTAATCGTTAAGCTAGCTGTAAAACAACATTTTTGCCTCATAAAAAGTGAATAGATTTAAATAATATACATAATTGTAAATATTTTAGATTTAATGTGATCATAAGTGTGAAATTGTATTCTAAGTAATTGGGTAACATATTTTTTATTTAATTTTTAACATTTGACGTAAACTATTAACTGCTGTTAATTATTAACCAGTGAATAAATATTAAAAGGCAGAAGCAGTACAAAGTACAAAGTTCCTCAATTATTTAAAATATTTTTTGGAATGTGAATGTATTTGCAAATTAAAGAGAAAATAAAACATTGTTCCATAAAATTTTGTGATCATCAACAGTTTTAAATTATTTTTCTTTAATGTTACTTTCTGTGTTTTCAAAATTTATACTGCACCCTTCAGAAAGATTTTGAGTTTGTATATTTTTTATTAGCTGTGATAGATATTTTTGCAGGTACAAAATAATAGATCTTTCACAAATGTTTACAAGTCACGTGACCGCCGCGCTTAGGCAACCAGCATTGCAGGGCTGGTACTGGTAACAAAAAATCCCTAAATCTTGAAGTCATCAATAATAATGAACAATGACAAACCGTTGTTTGAAATAATTCAATCGCTGATTAGTTGTATAGAATCTAGTGAAAAATTACACCAATCACAGCCGGTGAAACAGAATTGACAGAATTGTTTCGATAATTTTTAATTTTATCGAAATTAAATTGTCAACAGAGTTCTTTGTGTGCGCCAGGATATCCTCTATGAAATGGTTTGGGCCCTGCGCTTCATTTTAAAAATACAGGGTGTGCCATTTAACACTCCCGCTGCCAATATCTCCGAAATGAAGAAATTTATTTTAGTTTCGGAAATTTGGGTTGTTAGATCCCTCCAATAGCTTCAAATTGTAGTTAGAATTGTTAGTTCAAATCTTTCTGTATAGATGGCGTGGTGATACTAAAAAATTTTTTGTTCCCTGGAATGTGAAAATGCAGTCCTTCTGAAAGATTGTTAAATTTTAAGTAATTTTTATAATATAAAGTTTTTCCATATATTTACTTGTTTTCGAGATATGTCGACTTCAATATGCAATGTATGATATAACAGGAAAATATATTATTTTATCTAAATCACATCGAGACAAAATATTCTTTTAAAATATTGTTATAATGACTTTATTCACACCACATACTAACTAACAAACAATAAATTATAAAAAAATAAATGATCAACTACAGAAAAAAAATTGTACCTGTAAAATGGTAAATCGTATAAGTATACTCTACGGTCGAAATTATAGAGTGATTCATCGCTAGCTTTTGGACTAGTAAGGGGGAAGAAGTGTGTCGGGAACGAAAATCCATTGGCATGTCTGCGTAAAAGGCTACAAGATATAGAAAATAATGAAAAAAGATAATAAAACATAACATCTAATATTTTTTACGGTTTGCTATAACAAGCACTTTGATCCATTTTAATTATTACAGCATTTTAAAACGTCCCAATTGTGTTTTTTTAATTTATAAATTTATTATAGCCATGGAATTAGACCCCTCGTCTACGCTTATGCTATGACATTTCTCAGGACTGGTAAATCAAGTCCGTTTACACCCACTAAAAAAGCATTTCCCTATTCCCTAACAAGTGCAAAAGACAGAGATAGAATATAGATTGACGTTCAGTGTAACTCAATCTATATTATATTATGTCTTAGTCACTCTTTATAATTTCGACCGCGGAGTATAGTAAATCTTATAAGGGGCAGAGACCAATCGTATTTTATCAAATGTTATTAAAAAATGCAGTCAGGTGGCTCATGTCATTTGTTTAAAATAAAACAATGACATATGACACATATTGGTTTTCCAATAATTACAGTTTTATCAGTTTGCGTCTTACGTCATACTTATAATTACAAAAATTACTCAAAATTTAACGATCTTTCAGATGGACTGCATTTCCACGTTCCAGGGAACAAAAAATTTTTTAGTACTAAACTAAAATAAATTTCTTCATTTCGGAGATATTAGCAGCGGGAGTGTTAAATGGCACACCCTGTATAGCCACTTCAACGACACCACTCATTACAGTTTAAATTCGAGATAAAATTTAAATATTTTTACAAATATAATAAGATGAATTCACCCGTTTTCAGCCAGTTAATCACATATTTTAAAATAGTAATTTTTTTAGTTTGTGTCTACAAAAATTATATTTGATATGTATCAGAATTTGTATTACTTTAAGCTTTTAATAACATTCATCAATTTAAATTTTCACAAAAACGCATCATGTGTGTCGTCGGTAGCTTATTCCAGTAATCGGCCAATGTGACGCCATTTTTCAACTATATTTTCCTTTACCCCTCTTTGACCCCATCTAATAATTAGTTAATGTGTATTTAAATGTCGACGGTTATATAAATTGATTAATACCCCACTTTTTTGTTTGTAATAAATTCCGAAATAACAATAAATAAAAATGTGAACGTCACAAACATGATCAAAAAAATTATGATGGATATGTTAAGAACTCCTTGTCACATTGTCGACCACTAAAAAATGGTAACGTAAATGACCAAAAACTAGCTTATTCCAAACCTTTTTTTGGCCATACAAACAGGAATTGGAACAAATAAATGTTTGTTTTGGTGGTCAAAAATTGGATAGAGAATTATATTTATTTTTTGGAAGAGAATATCACAATAAAAAAAATCATAACTAACATCACCCAACATACTTCACCAAACATAAATATTAGTTTTACCTTCTAAATGGTGTCACCATCACTTTTCCAAAGGGACGTAAGCACTAAAAGCGCAATTTTAGTAATTTCGCAGGAAAACAGTATGAAGAAAAATTATTACAAGCTACTTGTTTGTGGTATGTATGTTTGATATTGTATTAATTAAAAAAGAAGTAGACGATTTTCTTCTTATCGCTTACGCCTATTTGCAAGTTAAAAAATATTGTAAAATAATATTTTCTTCAGCACATGGAGCAATATTTAGAGTTAATGATATAAAGGTTGTTAAAAATTGACATGAAATTCTTTTCATTTGTAGTTTTAGGGCTTTACTATTATTGAATTTAATATTCTCTAGAGGGCGAGAACCAATAAAAGCCGAAAAGAGGTGAAACCACCATTTTACTTACTAAACTAAAATTGATAATTTCTGCAAACAGTTTTACAAATACAAAAATTGTTCAAATCATATTGTGAAAGATAAAAACTTCTCATCCTAGGTTTTTCTTTTGGTTAATTTTTACCGAGCCAAATCTTTTTATGATTTTTTTAGTATGTATAAAATCAATTAAATCATGTAAAATAAAGTTAATTTGGTACAACTTAATATATATTTTAATAAAGTAATAATCTACAAAGCACTATTAAAATCCATAAATATTTATACAGAATGTGGTTCGTCTTTTCCAGTATCATGATACTTAACGTAAGTGTCAACGTGTGTAAAGTCTTTCCTATCTTCCTGCCAGCCCCGTGGAGGTGAATCTTCGTATTTGAAAGCGTTTGATCTTTCACCGTATACCTTATTGACGGCCTCTATGTGATCCCTATACTTTCCAGACACAACCTTCTTTCCAGTTATAGGATCTGTTATATCTCCTAATGGATAAATAACTTCTTTCACTTTATGTGTAATAAGTCTTGTTAGTTTTTCTGGTAGTCTTTCTATAAGAACAAGATCGCCAGTTTTACATAGTTTTTTAGGATCGTGTGCATAAACAAAATCGTACGTTGGAAAATACTGAAAAAAATCATATTGTAAAAAAATTACTTATTTTTCAGTAACTTATTACCATATGTATGTTAGTGTCAAGTTCCAAACGTTTAATTTTAAATTTTGAGGCACCTTGCTTTAAACATGGAACACATTCTCCTAATAATATAATTGTATTAGCGATTTTAGGTAACGCCGAGGTTAAAGACATTATTGAACGAAAAATGAAATATTGAATTATGAATTAAAGTATTAAATTTTATCCACCGATTATAATGTAACAGGTATTTCTTTTTGGGACGAAGGATCAAAAAGTAGGGTTATATTTACGAATAAAATAATCCACAGAACCCACAGAACTAGATACTACAGAATCTTCCAACTAGGCAAGTTTTATAAAATGGTAAATGAGTACCAAAAGTGAATTTTTGTAAACCCCTAATGATGGGACGGCAATTCAAAATGGCAATTGTATATGCAATTGGTGAAAATTTATGCAGATTTTGTAAGACAAATCATTTTTTGTAAGACTGAGAACCTCATATAATTATGAATTTTTCAATAACAACTATTTCTAAATCCTTGTGTAATTAGTGTACCTAATTGTGAGTGTAATAAGTATTGGTTTCACTTATTGTTAACAAAAGTGAGGAACTGCACACATATTTTTAATAGATATACGTTTACTATTTTTACGTTTACGTTCATTGTTCATCAGGTTACAAAAGTGCTTGGTTTCGACCATAATAGTTACCAGGTGCATCATACACTTGTAGCATATACTACTACAGTGGCCGAGAGTGTAGCAAATAAGTAAATAAATAAATAACTAGAGAGAAGGGTATATGAGTGTAATTGCTATCTCTCTCTAGCAACATGCAATCGCGTGCTGCTAGAGAGAGATAGCAAATACCCTCATTTACTCTCTCTAAACCGCTACACTCTCGGCCACTGAGACGCTGCCTCCAGTAATATATGCTCAAAGATCATATACATATAATGCGCCCTTTGCGTGGCATCCAAATTTATGATAATTCATTGAACTAGTTCTTTGTAATGGAGCAAACTCCGGACGAACTATTTGAATAACGAAATGAAATAGGTAATCACATAAAAAGCATTTAAGTAATATTTAACTGATATAATATCAATCTTTACATATATTGCGAAAGATTAGTGTGTATTTTATAATGCAGATAATACTTTTAATTTTTTTTTAGCTTATTAATTAAATTTAATTATAATAACTTATTTTATCAATTAAAGTAGGTATGAGCTGAGTTTTAGAAATATTTGTAATACTTGGATTAAATTATCAGTAAGATCAGATTTTGCAACTCACAACATAGCTTTATTATGCATTAATATAATTATTAATAATTGTAAATTCTGTTAATTTTAAAAAGTTTTGGACGCCTACCATCAATTTTTTCCAATAGATAACACAACACTGGATATTCTGTATATGTTGGGTCTAATAAAGTGACAAAGAACGTTGTTATAATACCTAGAAAAACTTTTCTACTGGCAATAAGTTTGGAAAAACTGCAATTAGGTATCCATTGCGTGGTTGCTACTTACCATAGTACTTATTTCGTTTTATAAAAATAGTTAAAATTATTTGAATCGGAAAAACGTGGTGTTTATGTATACATAACTGAAAAGTGTTTAGATTTTCAATGTTCCCAAATGTGTAAAATATACAGAGTGAATCAGTGTACTTCTTAAAATAAATAGAGGTTTTTATAAATATATCAGTGGTGCAGATACAGGCAATGTTTCTATTTAATTTAATAAATAAACAATATTATTAATTCCATTAGATCTGAAAATATAAAAAATAGTAGATTTCCTGAACATTTATCACGCTGTCTCTAGAAAGGAGGCATTTTTTGTAAAATAAAAACATATTTGTTGTCTGTATTTAGGTGTATATCTGTGGTATTTTTTTATTGCCTTTTCATTTAATTTATGGGACAAGAGACTTAAAATTTCTTTTTCCTTTCAGTGTGATATAAATGCTCTGTTACATGGAAAAATAATAAAAAATCTACTTATTTTCAATAGTACTGCCACGTCTTTATTGGTTCTCCATTAAATCTGATTCACGACTATAGTGTGATTTATTAGACACTTTTAGACTGTAGTTTCACAGTAATATTATACACATCAAGACGAAAAAAGTTTTCTATTCTACAAATGAAACCTGCGCCACCCTTTGTATTTGGACCCCAAAACCGAATATGACGTGGTAAGTGTTCCATAATCTTTTACGCCTTTTTTGTTTTAATTGCAAAATATCACCAATAAAATATAAAACACAGAAAAAAACTCTGAATTCAGTAGGCTTCGCCTTGGCATACCCTGGAAATGAATTCACGAATCATATTCCTGGATATTTTGGATATTTGGAATCATGGAATGTTTTTTTGGTGTCTACCCGAAGCCAGTGTTGAAACTTTGAATACACAAAATATGCAACGAACTCTATGCATGAATATGAGCATTGAGTCGTTCTCACACCCAAAAAAAGAATATGATGGAACATTTCCCATGGCAGATTTGGTTTCTGGTAGGTAGCCTAGACACATAGGTTTTATCCGCAGAACAACTCTTTCGCGTGATTGTATTTTTCAAATTTCAGTAGACATTTTTTCGTGGAACCATTTTTCTTATATTTACCACCCAAATTCAAATTTTAAGCTTTCCAGTTACTATTGAAAACCCTGTAAATCTGTAATATGCGTCTCATTTGTTTGTGCGACAGTGATATTAAAAAATAAAAGTTTCATACTTTTTTTTAAAGATAAAAAGGTGGTGATGTGGTTTTGGCGGACCAATTGTTTCTGAAAAGTTCTCATAGCTTGAATTTACCCTTGCCTACACTTCCTTAAGAAATTTTTAAAACCAAGAAATTTAATAATAATCTTTATCAAATTTTATGACTTAAATTTTTTCTAGGCTCTGATAAATTTTCGCGGACGACTAGGTATGTATTTAAATGATAGTACTTGTAACTGATGATAAAGGGCTGGACCTACATAGGTACCTACTACAATAGATTAAGTACTACCTAGGTATTTGGTTTAATAGCATATATACTTTATCATCGTGATTAAATAATAAAATAAGTATATAATGTATGCGTTGCTCTTTGAGTTTACAATTTATTCCCCTATTTCTTATACCTAATCGGGGATATTGAACTGAGTATATTTACGTCGCCGTTACAATGATAATAATCTAATTTCCGTCTTGTTCACATGCTGATTGGGATATTCTTCAATGAACGCTGATGTCACGCTTACGAGATGGCGTACGGAGCAGCAATATAACCACTGAAATCCATTATTTAGTTTCGACCCACTCTTTCAAGGAGGCAGCTGTGAGCCGAGCACGCGCGGTCGGTGTTGTCGATATGTCGGTGTTTATTATTTAACCACTATACAAAATAAGAAGAGCTAATTTCTGCTCAAAAGGAAGTAATTCAGTTTGTGATAGTCTCGTCGACTGTGGATTTTAACGTGGTTTATGTGGTTTTATTCAGGTGGCGTGTATACTTTTTGTGCTGCTTAAAAAACAGTTTGTTTACATCTGTTCCATTTGATTATAAACTATATTTTTTGTGTTAATCTGTTTGGGTTATCTTGTTCTTGTTTATTGGTGGTAAGTACTTGACAGCTAACATACCTGTAGTTGTACTTTCTTTCTCGTTAAGTATCTCAGTGTTCTTTTTTTGCTGCAATAACCTATCATAAATTACTTATGAATTACTGCATTTCATTGACAGAATATTATAAAAGAGAATTGCACCTGATAAATCAACCCAATCTTATCAGATAAATTTCAAAATAAACAAACTTACACATTTTTCCTGTATGTTAACTTTTTGATCTTAACCTAACATTTCCAATGAGAGACGAGAGGTTGACTCTGATTATTAAAGGTTGTAAGGTGACTCATGCCATGAACTTTAACATAAAATGTTCCTGGTGGGTAGATTAATGTTTATAGTTTATTGCTGCAAATTCAGGTATCTACGTTTTACCATCAATCCAGGTGATGTGGTAATGGTAATACCAGTATAAAAATTAATGGTATGGTCGGTTCGTTTGCAAAAATATGATATATTATATGATTAATAATATATTAATAAGTGTAATAACATTTTATTTGCTGTATGTCACAATATAACGATCAAACAGAAGCTATAGTAATACCAGTAGCCTGAACCTTCTGATACGATTCTACAAATTCTTAGAACTATTTATAACACCCTATATATTTACAGTTATCAAAATTCGACAGTACAGAGAAAACAAATTTAATCCCTAGGCATGCCTTTAGCTTACATTAATCATGTACCATAATCCTCATTAAAAATGTATCATTTGCTATCTCTAAATACTATCTTCAATGTTTATACGGCCGATTTATCTAGTCTAACTATTTAACTAAGGTTGCTTATGGCTATAATACCTTCATATAGTTATATATCTTTAGTATTAATCATTCTCGTAGATATAGATGCGAGTGGCATTTAAGGCATTACGAATGTGACCTAGATTTACCCATTAAGTACCGAAGTCAGTACCAATTCACTTTAGCACATATCGCTAAGTATATAGCAGTCTAACATGATAAGGTCAATTTATTTTATTGCATAATCAAATTTGATCCCCTCTCTGATTAAATAAGTGCAACTGTTGACGGTTGCGATATGAGATTTAAAATAATTATTTTCCGTTTTAAAATTAAATGTCTGGTATAGCCTATGAAAACAAAATAATAATAAATAGGTACCTACTACAATTTGTCAGAATCGGGTATTGGTATTTTTTCCTTCGTTAAGAGTTCTGTAGGTATACACAGTTAATTTATGTTTTAGACTCGGTTTTAGATTTTAAATTTTCATACATCACCACTTATTGTTACAAGTTAATAATAATTGTTATTGTCGATATTCAAGGTAGTAGCAGTAATCAATAATCGTAGTGAAAATGACGTTTCTGTAAAAACTTTTTATACTGATTAATTCTTAAATACTTAAATCTATTATTTTTTCCATTTTTGATATATTTATGTATTTTACCTGTAACTGGACAAACTTCCGAATGTTAAAAAAAATATTGCAAAGAGCACGAAACTACGTAATCTTGAACGTGTCGACGTTGTCGTTCGGATACTAAATGCAAAGCCTGCTGCGATCATTTTTGTAAGTATGTATGTCCAAAATTTGAAAAACCGTATTAGTCATTATTTTTTCCGGAATTTAACACAGGCACTTTAAGGGGAACCGCTCAAAATAAGAAAATATCAGAAGCAGTATTAAAAAGTTGAATGGTCGGTATAGG